ATTTCAGTCCGCCATTTTGCTCCGCCATTTTTGTCCATATTGATTAACCATTTCAATCTGCCATTTTGGTTTTCCATTTGGTCCACTATTTGGGACCTCCATTGAGGCTGTCATTTGGGTCCGCCATATTGATCAACCATTTTGGTCTGCCATTTGGGTCCGTACTGTTCAAACATTTCAGTCCACTATTTTGGTTTCCCATGTGGTCCACCACTTGGGTCCCCTTTTCTGGCCCGGTTTGTCCTTCCCTTCCTTCCTTCCTTCCTTCCTTCCTTCCTTCCTTCCTTCCTTCCTTCCTTCCTTCGTTTGCTGCGTCTCAGGATCAAAACCAATCTCGTTTTCCTTCTTACAAAAAGGGGTCGTAAATCAGTATTACCTCGCCACCCGCAGTTCCGGCCTATTTATTTGTCTCTCTCTGGACGGACGGACGGATGGGGGTCCGGACTTCTTCCCGGCGCTGGAAGGATCCCGGAGGAAAACAGTGTCCGAAGGAGGAAACTGTGCTGCGGATGGAGTGGCGGCTAGAGCCCGTTTCTTGGGTTTCCCCCTTTCTCCTTCTCCTTTGGACTTTCCCAAATGAAGGCGATGTTTGGAGAGCGGAAGCCAGACCTATGAATGTGCCGGACCCCTTTTCCTCCGGCGTCTCCTCCAAGGCATTGGAAATAAAAAGAGATAACCCTTTTCGGTACCTGTTTGCACTAAACCTCCTTCGTGTCGGCACATTTTTCCCCGGGGGAAACGGACCCCATGAAAACGGGCCCCGGCCGATCAGTGCCACGTGATTTATACATATATAAATATATATAATAATAATAATAATATACATACATATATACCTCTTGCGTAGATGACACAATACACGGCTTCTCAACCCGAAACTCAAGGTGTTTGGTGTCTCATTTGGGTTTGGAAGGAGGCTGCACCGAATATTGTAGGAAATGTTTAGGGTGGGCCCTCGATTTCGTCGTAAAATTGTCTAATTTCCTGCAGTGAAAAAGATCTTGGAGTCCTCGTGGACAACTAGTTAAGCATGAGCCAACAGTGTGATGCGGCAGCAGAAAAAGCCGATGGGATTTTGGCCTCCATCAATAGAAGTCAAGTGTCTAGGTCCAGGGAAGGAATGCTCCCCATGCTCTATTCTGCCTTGGTTAGACCACACCTGGAATATTGGATCCAATTCTGGGCATCACAATTGAAGAGACATATTGACTCTAAGCTGGAATGTGTCCAGAGGACGGCGACTCAAATGATCAAGGGTCTGGAGAACAAGCCCTATGAGGAGCGGCTTGAGGAGCTGGGCATGTTTAACCTGAAGAAGAGAAGGCTGAGAGGAGATATGATGATAGCCATGTATAAATATGTGAGAGGAAGCCACAGGGAGGAGGGAGCAGATCAGAGGTCTGAAGAACAAGCCCTATGAGGAGCGGCTTAAGGAGCTGGGCATGTTTAGCCTGAAGAAGAGAAGGCTGAGAGGAGATATGATGATAGCCATGTATAAATATGTGAGAGGAAGCCACAGGGAGGAGGGAGCAGATCAGAGGTCTGAAGAACAAGCCCTATGAGGAGCGGCTTAAGGAGCTGGGCATGTTTAGCCTGAAGAAGAGAAGGCTGAGAGGAGATATGATAGCCATGTATAAATATGTGAGAGGAAGCCACAGGGAGGAGGAGGGAGCAAGCTTGTTTTCTGCTTCCTTGGAGACTAGGACGCAAGGGAACAATGGCTTCAAACTACAAGAGAGGAGATTCCATCTGAACATGAGGAAGAACTTCCTGACTGTGAGAGCCGTTCAGCAGTGGAACTCTCTGCCCCAGGAGTGTGGTGGAGGCTCCTTCTTTGGAAGCTTTTAAACAGAGGCTGGATGGCCATCTGTCAGGGGTGATTTGAATGCAATATTCCTGCTTCTTGGCAGAATGGGGTTGGACTGGATGGCCCAGGAGGTCTCATCCAACTCTTTGATTCTATGATTCTAATGTTCTCAAAGGTGGTTTTGGACTCATCTGGGACCTGAGAAACAGGAAACCAATTATGGGGGGAAATAAGGAGAACGGCAATCTGATCCAAACTTCAGGGAGTTCTAGTTTGCAGAATCCAGTGCAAACTGCAAGGAATTGTTTGCAAAATCCAGTTGACACTGCAGCATTTTTTACAGTTTGCAGAATCTATTTAAGATGTAGTGATTTATTGTTTGCAAAATCTGGTCCAAACTGCAATGAATTATTCTTTGCAAAATACGGTCCCTATTGAAGCAAATTATTGTTTGCAGAATCCGGTCCAAACTGGCGTGAACTACAGTTTGCAAAAATACAATCCAAACTGCAATGAATTATAGTTTGCAAAATCTGGTCCAAACTGCAATGAATTATTCTTTGCAAAATACGGTCCCAATTGAAGCAAATTATTGTTTGCAGAATCCAGTCCAAACTGCAGTGAACTACAGTTTGAAAAATCTGGTCCAAAATGCAGCAATTTAAATCTGGTTCAAAATGCAACAAATTATTGTTTACAGAATCCAGTCCAAATTGCAATTAATTGTTGTTTGTAAAATCGGGTCCAAATCACAGCAATTTTACAGTTTGTAGAATCTGGTTCAAGAGGCAGCAAATTATTAGATTCTTGTGGGTTTTTTCGGGCTATATGGCCATGTTCTAGAGGCATTCTCTCCTGACGTTTCGCCTGCATCTATGGCAAGCATCCTCAGAGGCAGTGAGGTCTGTTGGAAATAGGAAAATGGGTTTATGTATCTCTCAACAAAACATTTTCCCAGGCTCAGCCAGGCCTTCAAATGCTAATGAAGGTGGTCAGCTGAAATATTCCCACCTAGCTCCAGCAGACAAGAGTCCTTTGTCCCACCCTGGTCATTCCACAGATATATGAACCCTTTTCCTAGTTCCAACAGACCTCACTACCTCTGAGGATGCTTGCCATAGATGCAGGCGAAACATCAGGAGAGAATGCTAGAGGCACTGCCAGGCCATCAAATGCTAATCAAGGTGGTCAGTTGAAACATTCACCCCTAGCTCCAGCAGACAAGAGTCCTTTGTCCCACCCTGGTCATTCCACAGATATATAAACCCTTTTCCTAGTTCCAACAGACCTCACTACCTCTGAGGATGCTTGCCATAGATGCAGGCGAAACATCAGGAGAGAATGCCTCTAGACCATGGCCATATAGCCTGAAAAAACCTACAACAATCCAGTGATTCCGGCGATGAAAGCCTTCGACAATACATTATTATTATTATTATTATTATTATTATTATTATTATTATTGATCTGTGGACATCTAATCACCTCTCAACAAAAGATTGCTCCAGGCACTGCCAGGCAATCAAATGCTAATCAAGGTGGTCAGTTGAAACATTCACACCTAGCTCCAGCAGACAAGAGTCCTTTGTCCCACCATGGTCATTATTCCACAGATGTATAAACCCTTTTTCCTACTTCCAGCAGACCTCACTCCCTCTGAGGATGCTTGCCATAGATGCAGGCGAAACGTCAGGAGAGAATGCCTCTAGACCAATAATAATAATAATAATAATACATTTTATTGCCTGATGCAATGCAATACATAGATTGCGAACAATTATTAAAACAATTGC